CCTCTCGCTATCCCTGCAAAACAGCTTTTCTAAGGATTGTCCAAGCGATCGGACAGTAGCCTTCGAAAGGCCACAATAAGAGGTCTTCAGTCGAGTGGTGTCATATGGTCTTCATTTAGATGTATCACAAGAACATTACTTCTCACAGTATTTACAAATGAAAAACATATGGCTGTAACCTGTAATACTGCAAGAAATACTGCACTTTGGGCTTGGTTTTGGCCTCAGACTTTTGAAATATGAACCAAGCGAAAGGATTTCAGCTTAATGCGTGACTCAGTCCATTCTTCATCAGAGCTCCAAGTCTGGGGGACAGCTAAAGCTTGCATCTGAAAAAAGCCATTTGCCCACAACTATGGTAATGTGCTCTAGTTTGCAACTAGAGCAGCATGTTTATCAAAAGAGTATGGGGGTGGTTAATTAAAGACATCTACTTTCCATTTAATTAAAAAAAAATATTAAACTGGCTTTGGTTCTTATGAAGAGTTTTTAACTCATATACAGCCTTTTGCATTTACTATTTAGGTTCAATCAATATGGTTATCTACCTGTCAATTTCTGTTGCTCTTTAATGCCGAAAGAGAGCAGCCTTTTTTATAGCTAGCTCAGAAAGTACTAAGCTAATCAATACATGCAGCCATAAGAGAATGATTTGAAACACGTAACAGAAGCTTATCACTTTGCAGTATACTGAACCCGTCAAAATATTTTCCTAGAAGTAAAGTGAAAATAGAAGTTCTCCATTTTTTATTACTTCAGTGGGTGGTGACATAGATGGTGTAGGCCTTTTGGATTTGTTCCTAGCTCTGTATTTTTTGGAAAATTTGGTATACAAGCATTTGCTACTTTGTAGGAACGTGAGGCCAATTTTGCTGTGAGATTTAAAAACTATGCCTTGAAAATGAAACATTATCTTGATTGCCCTTGATTTCCCAGCCCTAAACATTTATCAGAAATCCATGCATTGTTCTGGAGAACTGCACATAAGATTTTCCAGGAATGCATCTTCTGATGTTTCCACAGACTGTAAACCCCTTTACTTTACTCAGTATCCTCCGTAATTTGTGTTCGAGCCCAATCTGAAAAGTACAGCCTTTCTTCCAGCTATCTCGCGCAGCATTACTCAATTTGAAATAATTTGTAAGCATCCTACAGGTTTAAATATACATACATGTATAAAGATTCTGGATTTTAATGCAACAGAGAGAGGATCAGCTGTTCTCACGATCTCTAACCTCTACTTTTTTGAAGAAATGCACAGGATTTCACTATGCAGTTCTCTGAGTGGTAAGTAACAATCATCTGCCATCATACAACGTAAGTGGGTGGAATTCTACATAATACAAAAGCTCTTTGCAATGTCCCAGGCTTGCCATGATTTACCAAATGTTAAATGTAAATTCAGAATTAATATATATAGGTATGTAAGTATGTATGTAATTACAGACTGAAGAGCGTTAATGAGAAAGGAACAGGGAATAATGTTTACAGCTTGAGGCTTTGCATGGATTTTTCTATCAGTTTTAGCTGCAGGGCCATTGTTATCCATTTGTGTTAGGGTATCTGATGCTTTTCTGCATGTCCCCCTGAAGCCACTCGACAGCCTTATGGCCTTCCAGTTCTGAAAGGTCTGCTTCACAACTTCTGAATCCGACGCTGCAAGCCCGGGTGCCTGTGATTGCACTGGGTTTTGCTCGAGGCACCAAACACTACAACTTTTTACCTTCACCCTTAGAAAGCAATACTGATAAAAGAAAAAAAGAGGAAAGGTGGAAGAAATCAAAAGGATAACAAAATCAGAAAGAAATCCTTACAGGACATGACAGAGTCTACAGAGGCTCTGCTGTTCCTGTTTCTCTACCAGAAATGGCCACGCATGGTGCAGACAGGCCTGGACCCTTCTCTGTGTGGGTGAGTTAAGGTCTGGAAAACACACAACAGCATCCGCTCCGAGGCAAGGATCAATCCACCCGTGTGTAAGCGCTGCGAACACTGCATCCTGACCCAGCCTGGTAAGCCCGTGTGAACTCACCATGAATCTCTACAGCCTCAGAAATCCCTAAACCACAATCCATCGCGCAGTGGAGACGTGCCAGCAGCAAGGCATTAACCAGGTTGTCCACTCCAGAGGAGCTGAAAGATGGATGGCCATCTCTGAGGGCAGAATGGGGTCCAGTGAACGAGCAAAGATTCTTAGAGCAACACCTCAAGTGACACAAATTATGTTGTAAAATTGATCCCTTCCTTACACATGGCAGAATCTTTCCAGGGCACTCAACATCCTATTCCATTAAGCCAAGATAAATGAGATCATATTTCCACATCAGTTTGAACTCATCTTTTAAATGTGCTTGTTCAAATATTTGGTTAATTCCCTTCCAACCCAAACTATTCCATGATTCTATGATTATTCCCCTCCCCCTCCTGAAGGTAGCAAAAACTGTCTTTTTCTTTGCCAACTTCGCACATCTTAGTAGATGCCATTATTGCAGGACCATCACGTAGGACTTTGATTTCTTCACAGAATTCCTCATCTTAAGAGCATGCAAAATCTTAAGAGAAATCACTGAAAAACATTTGCTGTGCAACCTCTATGTGTACACTCAGACACTTGAAAAAAAAGGACTCAACAATACAGGAGATCCACAGAACAAATTATGGAGAAATGCCCCAAAAAAGTGTCTCCTGCTGCGACATTGAAGATCACCACCACCACTACCTGGAAGAGTGTTAGGATGGAAACCCGTGGAGCGGGAGCAAAATTGTTTCAAGCAGATCACTACGGCTGGAGGTGGCTAGGGAAGGTTCATAAATTGATAAGCACCACCGAAGGATCATAAGCCTCCACATCAATTGTATAAAGATTACAGCAGAGCCACTCACTGCAGTCATTCTGAAAAGGTTATGGGTTTCACAGGTGTGCACTGTCAGTTCTGATTAAGCTTAAACTAAACCAGTTATCTATAACGTTGGGTTGGACGGCGTTTTATTGCTGAATGCAGGGTAAATGAAATTCAGGATATACATCTGTGGAAAAACACAGAGTGCCAAAGTTCACAGTCCTGCCACAGGCAAAAAAAATCCAACCTACAAACTCAGGAGGAGATGTAAAACATCCATCAGTCTGGCCACTGTCATAGGTTCTGTATCCAAAAGGAAAGTCATTCGTCACCTTAACACAGCTTTGGGTTTTCCTCCCCTCTTACAATTAGTGTTTGTTCTTATCATACAGACTGGTTTAAGATTATTATCTGCTTTCACTTCTGAAATGCCTAGAATTTACCATTTATCTGATCAGAAATGAAATTAATAATACACCTATACTTTTCATTACACACAGGATATAAACTAAAGCAGCTGTAGCAACAAATTCACAATGTATTTTTTTCTTTGTGTGCCTAGGCCTCTTTCCAAAAATAACAGTTCACGTCAGAGGTTCTTAGAGCTACGCAAAAAGACTGTGGGTGATATCACGTGCCCAAAAAACGCTGGTAACAACTCAATTGATTTTAACAGTGTCAGGATTTCCCTCAAAAATTAAAGAAAAAAGACGCCTTCTTGATAGTTGAGACAAGTTGTAAAAGGTACATTCTATTTCCAAATCACTGTGTATTAATGCTGCACTTTAAAGTGCCTCTATTGACTCACAGTGTTAATAGGTGCAAAAGTGAAAAAATCTATTTGCTTTTGCAACATCATTATTTCCTTTGCATGCAATTATTTACTTGCCAAACAATGCTAGCAACAAATCACAACAGACTATGAAGCCATCTACATCAGCAGGTTTTTAACCTAAGGTAAAAATAAACAGAAACATCTGTAAAGTAATCTTGTACAAAGCTACGTTTATTAACAAATACATTTTCTAATAAAACACCATCTGCAAGCAACCCTCAGCTTCCACTTGATATAAATAGGCCTTTTACTGTTTTCAGATGCAGTTCCCAGAAAATTATTCCAAGCTCTACTGCAAAACACATCAGTCTTTGTTGCTGCCTGGAATGTTAATAAATAACATCAAGTTTTTAAATAGTCAAACAAATTATTGGCTTGAAGCAATTATTCCAATAGAAAAAGCTGACCTTTTGCAATAAAGTGGTTTAAGAATGCATCGCTCCTCACTCCTAGTATAAAAATATTACCAAGCAAAGAAATATTTTGGAGAAAACAGAAAGCTATGAAAAACCCATATTGCAATTCTGCTCATATGTACACTATAAACCTACCTTGCAAATGTTACTGCTTTAGAGAAAATCAGAGTAAGAGAAAAAGGATACAGAGTATAAACAGTTCAATTGGTATCCTTCTGATACATCTGTGTGTAGAACGGGCACAAATATGAACCAACCAAAATGTTCCTCACAGGACTACTGTACTGACCACCAATACAAAATTCAACAGCTTAAACCATTGGTAGCAGAGATTGGGACTGAATCCCAATATTAAGAGCTCTTCAAAATGCAGAAAAGCTTTAATGGGACACATTTTCATAAGCATTACTCAGAACTTAAGCCATAATAATTCCACTAAAAGCAATGGGAATTTAGCAAACTCTGCAAATAAACTCCTTACTGGTAGAACTATTCAGTACCGATGGAAATCAAACACTGCCATTTATTCCTTCGAGTTTAAATCAGCAATCTTTCTATCAAACTAGCTCCTAACTGCAAATGCAAGAAGAGTGAAAACTGCAGATGAATTGAGATATTAGAGTTCTGTGTCCAGAATTCCAGCTGGTATAAACGTATCACATCCTTGAGACCTTTAATGTTAACTGGAAACAAGCCATGTTAGTATTGCAAACTGTGCTTTTAAAACTTCCTTAGATATTGCGACTGGGACTATCACAACAAACTCTGCCAAAAGTAGTCATGACCATTCCAAAAAAAAGGAATGTTTTAGACCACAATTCCAGGAAATGGAACCGCGTATTTCCAGAGAAAATATTCAGTGCAGGAAATACTCCAACAGTATGAGAGAAGGTATTTTAAACTACTTACTTCAGTAACAGGAGGAATGTTGAGCTTTGGTACTTTGTTCTTGGAACTAGGTGGGTTCACTTTTCCTTCCAGCAGGGTGCCAAAGGACTGATTTCCATATCCACTCTCAATTTCTATGGGAGGTTTCAGTTCGGGTGAGTCATTGGGTACCTGGTCCTGACCGTCCATAGGCCTGACATAGGCTGTAGGCTTTTGCTGGACCATGCTGTTTTTACAGTGAAGTCCTGGTGGGAAATTCTGGGTCGAAAGGCCATTGTTCGCAGATAACAGAGATGTGGAAGGAAGTGGCGATCCCGGACCATGACCTACAAACTCAAGGTCTGTGGGTGACTTCGAATGACTGTTTTCTTTGTAAGTATGTTCTCCCGCTGCTGACTTGGAGTGAGTATGCCTCCTCGAATGGGAAGATGCTGCTATAGAATTTGCTTCCTCAGTTCCTCCACTTTTATGCTGCTCACTCTGGCAGTTATAGAGGTCTTCATACCTGCCCTGCGGCTGGTCATGAGAAGAGCTATGCTTTGTCCGACTCTGCTGGCTACTGGACTGGCTTGGCTGGGCCCCACTAGAGTTGTGACCACCACGTGACCAGTCTGTCCTCGACTTCCTGCTGCTCTGATGACTGTGTAGCAAAGAATTAGATGACAATGACGAAGGTGGAGGCATTGATGCCGATGAGTGGCCACTGATCTGATGAGATGGGATCATCCTGTTTCTTGGTTCAGGGAAAAAGTTCTGTTCATTTTTATCAATGGGTGTCTGCGGGACAGAATTCTTTGGGATTCCTACAAGGTGGCTCTGGTTGGAATGGTTGGTTAACAAGTCCTTCATCTCATCATAATTTCCCAACGTATTCTGGACACGGTTTGCAAGGGCATCGCCTTTATTTGTCTAAAACATTGAAAAAAAAATTAAAAAAGAAAAGGAAAAGAGTAAATTCCTGATTACAAAGTTACTGCTCAGAACAGTTATCTTAGAAGATGGCAAATGTTAGCTGTTTAATGGTGTCATGCTGACATTTAATTTAATTTCAATTACATTTTATATACGTTATATAAGAGAAACCTATCAATAACTGTGTTCAAAGAATTTCTTGAAACAGGCCTGCATGAGTAATACTTGTACACTGCTTCCCTTTTTCTTAAGTATGCTCTCAGAGAAGTGTTTAAATTGCATCAGTTATGGATATTCGGAACAAAATAGGCTAGTTTTATGTCAGAGATGTTGGGTTCATACATTTCACATCATGCAAAACATGCACGGGCAATTACTGGCTACTGAGCATTTGAATTGCGATCGCACAGTTTATTTAAGTATGTTACTGCTCTATCAGCCCCTTGACCCACAGTCCTGCCACAAACAGAAGCTGGGTAGTCTGTAATAAACTTACAGTACCAAACTCTTCACTCCACTGTAACTCAAATTACTTTTTTATAGAGGGTTCAGTTTGACCTGAGGTATCCACCATCTGAATCCAGAAAAGAAAAAGCTTCTACCCACTCAAATGCTACAGTAGCTTCAAATAAAGATCATTCAAAAATATTTGCTTATGGAACATAAATAGACATGATTGCCACATTCTTAAGTATTGGGATTCTTCTGTTGTCTGCAGGCTGGTTGTATTTGTAAATCGTGCTTTTCTTTGAATTCCAGTAATTATTAAATAAATACTGACATCTGTGTTTCACTGCTATTATACTTTTTCTTTTGAATCATGAAGCAGGGTTTTTTTGTTCTTTTTTCCTTTTTCCTTTCACTTGTAAAAAGGCTGGACAAATAAACTGGAGGCTATAATTTATACAGAGCTAATTTCCTTGCTCTTCCCGTTCTCACTCACCCCAAAGACACCCAAAGTACCAGTCTTCTTACCGACCTTTATGTTCCACTGAAATGACCCGCACAGAACTAAAACATCTTATTCCCCATGCTTATTACTTTGCAAGACTCAAAGGATAAAAACAAAGCAAATCTATAGTTCCTGTTCAAGCAGATGGTTACCTTCTACAGTCTGGAATCAAATGATGAAGCTGCAGTGTATGTAAGATACTTTGGGATACAGCCAACAGTACTTTTACTTATGTTTGGTGCTTTTTTTTTTCCACTCAATACAGCCAGTAGTGCCACAGTCCCAAGATGCCTTAACACCAGGCCATACAGATGGAGAAAGGCAGCACTGTGAGCTTGTGACTGGTTAGATCATGTCACACTTCATTCCTTGATGGGAGATCCTACCATGCCACTGATCCCTTTTCCTCAAGTATTAAACAGAAGTTTGAGTGATGAAAAAAATCCATGCATGAATTTCTCCTGAAATATCTGCGTGTATTACCCACTGCTGAACTAGTCAGGAGATGAGAACAATATTGCAGAAAGATATTTTTTTCCCTTAGTACTGCATATGCTGTAAAAAAAGTTGAAAAAGAAGATAAATGCAAATTTTCTTTTGCTCATTCTCAGAGATTGTAACATATATTACCACTGCACTGAGGCAGTGATTTAAAAATTAACTGTTCAGTGTTGTTCTCATCTATACACATTTTGCCAGTGCTCCTAACTGACACAGTTAATAATCCCAGTTGTGGAGAACCACGAATCACTTTTATTCACTAACTAGGTCCCTAGGTTGGTCATTTTAGTGGCAAAAATTATATTCTAGCTAAGCCAAGAATAAGTTCTTTGTATATGAGCTCTTTGTATATGAGTCTCCTTCAACTGAGTTGCACAATGAGCTGTTTGGGCAGCAGCCAAAACCAGGCTCTCTCTGTTCAACCCCCAAATTTAAAACAAGGAGATTCCATTGTGCTTAAGGGCCCAGCAGGA